GTACCCAAAGAATTATGTTACTCATAAAGGAAGAAATATAAAAATAATTAATAAAAAATTAGAATACAAATTTATATTAAATAATTATTGATAAAAAAGTATTTATATCAATTATATATGTTTTGTTGTTAGAATTATCTATATAGAAATTAAGAAATTTATTTTATAAATTTATTTTTATGGTAATTAGGGTGAAAGTTTCCCATATATATATATATATATATGTATATTTTCACACAATAACCTTAAGTAAATTAACTCCTGTCAACTTAGTTTTAAATTTTCGTGATTTTTTAGTTATACATCCAATATGTAAAATATGTTAATCCATCGTCACATCAGCAAATGAATATAGTAAAGTATGCATGGTCATGAGTTATACATACATATATAGAGTACACAGATGTTGTTGTCAGTTAGACAATCATATTTTTTCATGAAAATTGCATACTTATACTATACAGTGTCATAATTTTATTTACATTGTAATTTAAAGTATGATATTAATGTGAAATTATGTATATTTATTGAAAATGCAATCCATGAAAATTTACTAATATAAGTAATATGACAAAATTTCATATCATAAGTGAATCCAATGGTCAATTTCAAATTTCAAGACGTACAACTAAAGAAATGAAGTAAATAATTTATTATTAACATAATGCCATTCAAATATGATATGTATGTATATATCACAAAGATACTTGTAAGTCGCTGTAACTATTAAGAAAATCATCCACCATTTTTTTAATCAAATATGTGTGCTCATATTGTACTTTTAAACAATATTATTTTTCAAGGTAAAGTATTTTATTATAAAAGTATTTATATTTATTAGAAAAGATATGTTTGAACAGATGGTGACTTAGTTGAAGAGCAGTTGGACAGAGCCTTTGGATCCTTTGATTGGATGAGCAACTACCCTAATGCTGCAGTCACAAATATCATCAGGAGCTCTTCAGATCATTCAGCACTTCTGCTTGATATGGGTTTACCAAAGAAAAGGAGGAAAGTCAGATTTCATTTTGATAAAAGATGGCTTGGGAAAGAGGGCTTTGAAGAAGTTGTTCAACAATCTTGGAATTCTGCAGTAACAGGAACTCCTTTTTTCCAACTGAAGGAGAAAGTTAAAAGGGTGAGGGCTTCTTTGCTCATCTGGAGTTCCACATTTCAAACCAAGAATCAGGCTACCATTGCAGATCTAACCTCTAAGTTGGAAGAGTTGAACAAAGACAAAACTGATGCAAATTGGGAACTTTGGGAAGCTACTAAAAGAGACCTGAACAAAGCTCACTTGGTAGAAGAGATGTACTGGCAGCAGAAATCTAGAATCAAATGGTTGAAAGAGGGAGATGCCAACACCCGTTTTTTCCATGCTTTCACTCTTCAAAGAAGGAGACAAAATGCTATCACTAGATTACTCACACCTCAGGGAAGAGTTCTATCTCAGCAGAGGGACATTGAGCAACACATTGCAGAATTTTACAACAACCTCTTTACATCTGAAGGCAGTTGGGGTGGAGATGCTTTACTCCACTTAATTCCTACATCCATCACCACAGATATGAATACTACACTGTTAAAGCAAATAACTGAGGATGAAGTCAAAGAAGCACTTTTTAGCCTTCCACCAGAGAAAGCACCCGGGGAGGATGGAATGAGTGCTCTATTCTACCAACATTTTTGGGAGCTTCTCAAGCAAGAACTTATGGCAGCAATCCTCAGCTTCTTCCAATCAGGTAAGATGCTCAAGTACTGGAATCATACAGTGATATCTTTAATCCCTAAATGTCCAAATCCTGAGACTGTGAGCCAATTTAGGCCTATAAGCTTGTGCACTGTGATTTACAAGATCATATCCAAAGTATTAGCTAACAGACTAAAGGCTTGTTTAACTGAATGCATAAGTCCATATCAATCAGCTTTTGTTGAATGAAGGGAGCTCACTGATAACGTTATAATTGCTCAAGAAGTATTCCATTTCCTTAATAGGCACTCATCTGGCCCTAACTGTTTCATGGCCCTTAAACTTGATTTAATGAAGGCCTTTGACCGTATTGAATGGCTGTGTCAGGAAAGAATCATGCTCAAAATGGGTTTTCAGAGAAGTTTTGTCAATATGGTGATGGCTTGTGTTTCAACAGCTTCTTTTGCTTTCAAAATTAATGGTACAGTCAGTGGATTGGTTACTCCTTCAAGAGGATTAAGGCAAGGGGATCCACTATCCCCTTACCTCTTTATTATAGTTGCAGAACTCCTCTCAGCTTTAATTAAGAATGCTATCGACTCTGGTTCACTGAAAGGATTGAAATTGTCCAGACATGGTCCACTGCTGTCCCACATTTTATTTGCTGATGACTCACTTTTCTTCTGTAAAGCTAGCTCAGATCAGGCTGCTATCCTTATGACCATTCTGGAGAAATATCGATTATTTACAGGTCAAGCTGTCAACTGGCAAAAATCTGGTATCTTTTTCAGCAGGAATACACAACAACAGCTTCAATCCTCCATCTGCAGGTCTCTTAATGGAATTACTCCTCATAGGTCGACTAGATACCTGGGCCTTCCACTGGGAATTGGCAAATCGAAGAAGGAAGTTTTTGAGTATCTATTGACCTCAGTCAGAAACAGATTGAACAGCTGGAAAACCAAGCTTCTAAGTAATGCTGGAAAGGAAGTCTTAATTAAGGCTGTGATTCAAGCCTTGCCAGTCTTCACCATGTCCTGTTTCAAAATCCCAAAGGCAATTTGCTCTGAAATCTCTAAGTTGTGTGCTCATTTCTGGTGGAGCTCTGGAGATCAGCAGACACAAGGCATACATTGGAAAGCATGGACTCACATCTCCCTCCCAAAAATGCAAGGAGGTTTGGGCTTCCATGACTTGCAGCTCTTCAATCAAGCCTTGATTTGCAGACAGCTGTGGAGAATAGCTTCAAACCCTGAGCTTCTGGTTAGTAAGGTCCTAAAAGACAGATACTTCCCACATACCTCCATCACTCAAGCTTCAAGATCTCAAAGTGCCTCCTGGATTTGGAACAGTTGGATGGAGATGATGCCAATCTTTTCCAAATGGCTGAAAGTGGAAATAAGATCAGGGGCTGAAACTAAAATTTCAGACCTAAACTGGGTCCCAAATTTGCAGAAGCCTTCACCACCTCTGATCCCTATTGCTAATGGCCACTTGATTTGGGTACAGGAACTGTTACAAAACAATGGACTGCAATGGAATGAATGGTTGGTGAACCAAGTTTTTGATGCTCAAGACAGTGAGGCCATTCTGAAAATCTCAACACTTCACCCAGGAAGAAAAGATAGAGTGTACTGGGGGCTGGAGAAAAAAGGGACATTCTCAGTTGCAAGCACATATGAGCATCTCTCTAAACTCAAGCTGTCCAAGGCAGATATTCCAGAATGCAGCAACCAAGCCTCTCTCAGTAAACCCATTCAGTACAGGCACTGGAACTTGAAGATAGCAGGAAGATTGAAGCATTTTCTGTGGAAATGTCTTTCAGGTACACTTCCAGTTGCTTTACACTTAAGGAAAAAAAGGGTTGACATTGATCCAAAATGTGTTATCTGTTGTGGGGCTTTAGAAACTGTAGAACACATTCTATTTTCTTGTCCTCGAGCACAATCAACTTGGAACTTTTCTCCTGTGAAATGGGATGGACTGCACTGTTATACGGACTCATTTAAGGTCTGGTGGTACAATATTTGTTCTGTGGGTCATTCTGAAGTAGCCGAAGCGCGAATACAACTGACTACATATATACTTTGGTGGCTTTGGAAATCGAGAAACATATGGATTTTTCAAAAATCTTTGATACCAGAACTCAAGTTGCTGCAAATTGCTCACTCAGATTGGTTGGCCTTCCTCTCAGCTGCGGGTTCTTCTTAGTTTTTCATTTCTTTGTTTTGTTTTGTAGGGGTATTTTTCTTTGCTAGGCTTTTTAGCAGTGGCGGGAAATTTATCTTTGTTATCTTTTATTCCTTTGTTAGATTGACTCGGATTTTCTTTTGTTGAGGCTCTAGGCCACATCCATTTGTGCGCCTCTCAGTTTTTATTTTCGGTGTAGTTGATGTAGTTGATGTATTTCANAGACCTATAAAACAAAATTTTTACACCATTAGGAGATTATAATTAATTTGATAGAAAATAAATACATTATTTTTTTTTAGTTTGAAATTTATTTTAAAAATGTAATTTCATATTTGTCAAGTCAAAGTGTACATTATCACATTGAGAAAAAAAAAGATAGAGAAAAATTAGGAGTTGGGCACGCTTCCTAACATACATGAAACAAAGACTAAAATTTTGTATGTATTCATTATTCTTAAATTTAATACTAAACTAAAATTTTGTATGTATTCATTATTTTCAAATTTAATACTAAGTGGATATTTAATACAAAATATAAGAGGAGATTAGTTATTATCAATTAATATGCAAACATTTAATGCAGGCAAAATTTTAGGAGGAGATTAGTTATTATCAAATAATGTGCAAACATTTAATGCAGATTTTGAGCGGGAATTTGGCAGCTGCTCTGCTTTAATATATATATAGATAGATATAATTCAACAAGGATATAATTATTTTTATTTAATTCATTTTTTTACTTGAAACTACACATAACCACAACTTCAGAAAAAAGAAAAAACAGAAAAAAGAAAAAAAGAGGAAATCGTTTCGCTCATGCGCTGAGCTCTAGAGAGGGACCCGCCTAGATCACCACCTAATTTTCTTCTTTTCACATCTATCAAAGTTAGTCCATACTTGTGTGCGTCAATCAAACTCAGTTTTTCACCGTTGATCACCTTTTCGAATACCTCAACTGACGGCTGCGGTTTCTTCTGCACTGTGCAAACCATACCACGCAGCTGTACCTCAGTTTCGGAGAAACCAAGCCTCACGCCGGACCTGAAGCCTGAAACCCGAACCAAGTCACATATGACATATTTTTAGTTGAAAAAGAGTTTGTTCTTTCAGTTTTCTTCAAAGACCATCCTTCTCATGAGTCATGACTGTTAAGTGAGAGAGAGAGAGAGAGTGCTAAGCAGTGAAGCGAACCTATAGGTACAAACTATATCTACATATTAGAGAATAGGAGGAGAAAGTTGAAGCAAATTTCAGTAAGAGAGAAGATAGAGATGAAGTACCGTTGGCACTATTTGATCTCCATTTCATGAATTACTCAAAAGTAAGTTCCGATTGAGAATGCTACATTCAATTATTTTACCTCGGATCATAATATGAAACACTTCAAGTTTTCAATCCTTGCTGATTTTTCGGTTGTACGTTTCTCTGAGTTGAATCTTTTTAAAGATTGCTCGAGTATCTGAGAGCTGTATTATGCGTTATTTAAGCTGTGATTGGGTGGTCTTGTTCTTAATTTCGCTCAAGTGAGAGCCAGTGAGGTGTTTATTTGTGGTTTTGGGACTTTTGAGGAGAGTTTGGTGACATGCAGGTTCTTAGGGTTTTTCTTATATGTAGAACCTTGAAATTCCTTCTTCCCCAATTTCTAACTTATGCATGTTTTAATTGTTTCACTCTAGTTGCTTTTCTCGAATGACAAAATTGAACATGAGATTTCTGTCGGCAAATGGCTAACATAGTAACACCCAACGTGTATTGATTTCAGAATTTAGTTCAGCTTTTTGGTTAAAGTTTCAAAAATTAACAAAGTTAGAGTGTGGACGGGTAAAAAGTTTCCCCAGCAAAAGTAACTAAAGCTATTTTGACATACAGATGTTGCAGCGCCAAATTATTTCCAAACAACTGCAGGAACTGCAGAGGAGACAACAGCTCCAAGAGTTGGGCAATGACAACAGAAACCAGAACTATGCACATCAGATATCTTTGGCAAAACAGGCTGCAGGGGTTCAGTTTCCCCTTGCAGTTAACGAGATGGCCGTACAAGATTCTTCAAGAATGTTTACGGCTGGCAATATGAAAATGATGCAACAAAATGGGCCAAATGGATTATTTCTTTCACAAAATCACAATCTTGCTCCTGATTTTGACGTATCTTCACATAGAATTCATGCACCGATTGCTGGTGAGAAGTTAAATGACTATTCTCACCTCCAAGGGCTGGCCAATCAAAACCAAGCCCCTGTAGAGAACTCATTTTCGGGTCAAAGATACAATTTTCCGTCCCAACAGATTAATGTGGGGGATGGGCTGTTGCTTTCCGATCAAGAGGATAATTCGTTCGGGCAAGCTGGATGTTTCGATAGAGGAATTCTATCTGGTAATTACATCCAACAAGGATTTACTGTGCAGAAAAGTGCATCTATTCTGGAATCTGAGAAAGGGGGTGAAAATGCTTGTTCCTTAGACCCTTTAGAACAGAAGATCCTGTACAATACAGATGATTTCAACTGGGAGTCAACATTTGGCAGAAACCGTGAAATGAGCTCAAGAGGTTTTGATAGAAAGGTTGAGATGCCGTTCATGCAAAGTGGTAGCTGGAGTGCTTTGATGCAGTCTGCTGTGGCAGTGAGTTCGAGCAGTGATACTGGCGTTGAAGAAGAGTGGAGTGGATTGAGCTTTCAGAATCCAGAACCATTGAATGAAGGTGAAAAGCTTCAGAATGATTGGGTTGATAGGAATTTGCAGAATGGCTCATCTCCAAGTTCAAAGCTGCACGATATGGTTCAGAATATCGACAGCTTCAGTAATTTTCAATCGGCACAATATCTTAAACCGAAGGAGGAATATCAACCCACAAGAGGCAGTAAGTTGGTTCAAGAATCTTTAGCTTCACCAAATATATGGTCTGGTAAACATACGGAGCTCTCAAACAATGATGCTCATCAGAATAGCAATTTTTCATGCACTAATGAAAACCATCCACACAATAACTTATCAGGTATTTATAATTGTGTTCTGACTCAAAGAGCTTTGGCATCTTGATACTGAACCACTGATAGTTGCTAAATGGTAAGATATCACTCTAATGCAGGTCGTGTACATACAGGTGATTTTGGGCCTCAAGGGATCACATCCGATTATGTGTCTGGCATCCAAACGAACTATACTCAGGTTGCCTGGATATACTTTGCCCTGCAGTATTTATCCTTTTTGGTTCATTAGATTTCAATATTTCTATATGGCCTTGCAGGTGAACAATATGAATAGTCGTGGGTATTCAGTGAAACCAGAAAATATGGCTTCTGATGGGGTTTGTAGTGGTGAAAATGTGATTGCTTCAAGGTATTCATTGCCTACAGCATGTTGATTTTTCCCCTCCTGGCTACTGGTAATTGGTAGACTGGCAGAAAATGAGCACATTATGTGAATAGTCAATCATAGCATCTTCTTTTGACTATGAAGCTTATACATCTTGTGTGTTATGTTTGATTGACCTATGTGTGGTCTGTGTAAACATCTTTCCCTTTGATGTCTAGTTATGAGGATATTGTCTTTTGTAGAGAAAGTGTGTTTGAGCATCTTAACATGGATGACACTTCAATCGATCAAACATCTGCAACGCAGTTGAATGCAAAAGTTTCAAATCTGAGAAACTTACCCGACGCTGGATTTAGATTGGGGCCCACAGACCATCAGTTGCCACATTTATACTCTTCGTTCTCCTTACCGTCGATGGTGGGTAAAAACGATTACTTATGTGAATTTCCACCTTTTCAGGTTTTCTGATATAGAAAACCATTTTCTGTTTTACGTTTTGTGTCACTAATCTTATATATTTTTATTTTTCTGTAGAGATTTTTTAATCATATATAACATGTGTGCAGGGGATCTCAAGTGCAACACCTCCATTAAATGATATCACAATGGATTATATTAAATATCAGCATTCAGCTCCACTTCTTCAAAGTCAGATGGCTACTGAATTCCCAGTGCAAAGTGCTTCAGTCTCTCATGAAAATTCTGAAACGAAAATTTCCAACTCAAGTGGCTCCGAAGATCCAGTTTTGCTGAATCGTAATGAAGGTTTCCCGCCCTCTCTATGGCCAGAAAACCACTGTTCTTTTCCGCATGAATATCAACAACTAAAGAATGAAAATTCTGTTTTCGAGGGCTCGACTGAGATAATTAACACAAAGTTGCAGAGCAGAAGAGCACAGGAGCAAGATTTAATGAGAAAACATCACTCAAATTCAGCCAATTCTGGTTCCCTGATCACTAATCCGTGCGACCAGGCTTCTAATGAAGCAGAGATTAAAATGGAAACACCTTCATTTCCTGCCAGGGACATTGGGCCGTTTCGCCATTCTTTGAACCAAAATCACTCTCCTTCTCACCAAATGCTTTCCACAAGAAATGATGAAACTGATGAAGTTCGGAACTTCCCTCCAAAATATGCTAATATTAAAAATGATCACTTCATTGGCAATGCAAGGAATTTATTGTTGAGGGCATTGCAGCACAAAGATAGTGCAAAAAGGGATTTGTATTCTGCTTCATGGCTCGGTGTTTGGTCCGGAAAAACTTCTATGCTTCACAATCAGAACTATGCCCAACAGGCAGATATCTTTTGCCAAAACCTTCCAACAAGCATGAATGACACTCCTAGTTTGGTATATCAGTCACATATCAGTTCAGAAACCGCACCATCCTGGCTTAAGAATTACGAGAGACTGAAGAATGGGCAGATTCTACCCATGTATGATGCAGCATCTCAAAATAATCCAGCAAAACAGATGGGTCCTGGGAACTCGCGTGAAAATAGTTTGATTATGCAAGTGGACTTTGTGAACACTAAGCAATCTGTCACCACTATGGCGACCAACAAATCGAGCAGTGCTTGCGTTTTGCCCACTTTCCAGACCTTGGGTCTTTCGATGCCAAAGAAACGTAAATTTTTTGAACTTGATATGGTACCCTGGCATGAAGAAGTAAACCGCGGACCATCGAGGCTCCAAGATATTAGGTCTGCATACTGTGTACTGGTTCTTACACTCACGTGCTAATTGATTAACT